GAGGTTGGTGCATAAACTTGGATGACTGTGATGTTGAAAGGTCTGCCTTGGATTCATATTGAAATCATTCTATCATTTTTGAGACTGTATCGTAGTACAGCTTTTCCCACTCTTCTGTTGACTATGAGGGCCACTCCATTTCTTCTATGGGATTCTTGCCCACAATAGTAGATATGATAATCAGCTGAACACAGTTTACCCATCCCTGTTCATTTTAAATCATTCTATCATTTTTGAGACTGTATTGTAGTACAGATTTTCCCAGTCTTTTGTTGACTAAGAGGGCTACTCCATTTCTTCTATGGGATTCTTGCCCACAATAGTAGATATGATAATCAGCTGAACACAGTTCACCCATCCCTGTTCATTTTAGTTCACTGACGCCCAGGATGTCAATGTTTATTCTTGCCATCTCCTGTTTGACCACATCAGCTTACCAAGGTTCATAGATCTTACATTCCAGGTTCCTATGCAGTATTTTTCTTTGCAGCATCGGACTTTCTTTTCACTTCCAGGCATGTCCGCAGCTGAGCGTCCTTTCAGCTTTGGCCCAACAACTTCATTAGCTCTGGACCTACTTGTACTTGTCCTCCGCTCTTCCTCAGTAGCATGTTAGACGCCTTCCAACCTGAAGGTCCCATCTTCCAGCATCATATCTTTTAGCCTTTTGTTTCTGTTCATGGGCTTTTCTTGGCAAAGATACTGGAGTGGCTTTCCAGTTCCTGAACCAGGTGGATCACGCTTAGTCAGAACTCTCCACTATGATCTGTCCGACTTGGGTGTCCTAGAACAGCATAGCCCATAGCTTCTCTGAATTACTCAAGCCCCTTTGCCACAACAAGGCAGTAATGCATGAAGGGTTCTTATCTACAGTAACCGAAAGAGTTACTAGGAGGCAGATTGCCATCTTGAAATATTAACTCTTTCCTCATAAACAGTACTATTTGCTTAAAATTTATCAGACAAATATGTGTTATGGACTGTAGAGTTTATCCCTATTCAGGCATTGTGCCTAGAGGATTCTCTGTGTAGATCTTTGTGCTTAATATATAAAGGTCTCTAACTTCCCATGAGAGAAGGGCAGGGCTTGCTAAGGTTAGAGCCCTCCATGGGGTATTCAGGTATTATGTCTGAATAGAGATGTTGTGATTACAGTTTTCTTATATGTGATGCTGTGATAATTAAACAGAATAATTAGCATTTTACACATGATTAAAAAGAGGGTGTATTTTGTTTGATTGATTCATTTAAAAATTAAGTGTATTTTTTAGTCCCAAAGATTATTTTAGCGATTTGATCATATATCTGGTGTGGTGTAGTGGACAGAGAGATGGAGTAGGATTCTGGAGACCAAGTTTTAAATCCCCACTTGGCCCTGGAAACTCACTGGGTGAATGGGTCTCACTTATCTTTAATGGTGTATTAAGATCACTATAAACTGGTTCTGAATTGATGAAACATACAGTTACTAACTAAGCTTTGATCCCATAGTTTGATACCAATGTGTTCTTCAATTTGACAGCAAAGAGAAGCTCTCCCATCAAAAACCAGACTCAGACATGTGAATCTCCTAATCTAGATGCTGGGCATACAGAGGTAATAACTGAGACGGTACAATTTCACTGAGAGTAATGGAAAACACGATGAATTACAAGAATAAGAAATTTTATTTGGGTCCTTTCACAGGCAGGGCTTCCCTCAATGTTCATAAAAAATATGTTATTATTATTATTTTGTCAATTCCTCTTGAATGGATGTTCTGTGGTTAAAAAAGAAAGGTGACAGAAGTGGAAAACTCTTCTCCCTCTGAATTTCTATCCATGAAGAGAATAGCTGCATGATAAAACTTCACCTAAGAAGAATCTTAACAACGAAATGTGAATCGCAGAAATGCTGGTATATTTATTTTAACTTATGACAAACTTTCTCATTTTCGAAACTTGGGGCAAGTTGTAGTCCTTAAAAAAACCTCCTTGTGTAAAATAAATCTTAGTAAAATTTGATGAGGTAGAAGCTCCTATTTCCACTTAAACTCAGCCACCAAAAACCAGTTGTCCTAAAATTATTTTCTGCAGAACAGGTTTGAAGAGAAAGTAGTTGATTTTACTAGTAGATTTCTGAGCATTTACAAATGGCCAACAAATATCTCCAGTTCCCAGTTGTTTAACAGTAGACTTCTGGGTGAGTATCCTTTAGGGCAGTGGTTCCCAACCTTGGGTCCCCAGATGTGCTTGGATTAAAACTCCTAGAAGCATTCGCCACTAGCTGTGCTGGCCAGGATTAACAGTCCAAGAACATATGGGGATCCAAGGTTGGGAACCACTGCTTTAGACGTTTCCATATGCAAAACAAATATTGCAAAGTTTATTTTATATGATGTCTATTTCACACCCAATGAGGTTGTGTTGGAAGCACAACAAACTCCTCACCGAATATCATAATCACTCATATCATGTTAGCTATGTGTGCAGAAATCCTAAGCAGGACACTGGTTTTTAGCTCTAAATTAGACTGCAAGAATCCCGACTTGCAGTAAGTCCAATGATTTTACTTTCACTAATTTGTCCTTATGTGTTGTGATTGTCCCACTGTTAGGCTCATGGAAGGCATGAAAAAGTAACTTGTTTTGCCCCTTGAGCCACCATTTTTCATGTGGATCCATCTATTGGACCTTGGAGTTCTAATTATAAAAGGAAGAAGAAATAAGGCCCGCAAGCTCCAAATCCACTCTTTCTTGTTGTAAGAGGTCCAGAACTTTAGCTGAGTCTCTAGAATGAGAAATTTCCATACGGGTGAGATAGCTGCCCACAATTCTTTTGATGTTGCTATCATTTAGAGCAAATCTGCATAATCTGTTTCTGGTTTGATGACTTCAAAACTCTTGTGTTTCTCCTTTTCCCTATCAGATTCAGTTTGTTCCATTAAGGAGAGGGTTCTATATTTCTATGTTCCTTTATTTTTAAAGGACAGTTCTGTATCTGGAAGTGTAGGGCATCAGGAAGAAAGCCAGATGTGCCCATAAAATTTAAGGAGAGTTCAACATAACAGAATATGATGACTTGTGTGCTCTTATCACAGATTGTGCTTAATAAACAGTGACTTCCCTATTTTACCACTAGCCTTTGGTCCCTGTGTGTAAAAATATGCTCATCTCCCCCAAAATACTGTTTTATAAATAGCATAGCAGATGAGTAGCAAGACTGGCACCCAAGATCCCAGCCTAGTACATCCAACTCTCCAAATCTGTCGCTGTACCATGTAAATAGATCCTTATTACTACTTAATTGTATGCATGTTCGCTTAGAAATAACCTAAATATGCAATGTTTGTATGTTGCCTACTTGAATATTTCAACAATTATACCTGTGGGGGAGTTTTGTGGTGGTATACTTTTGTGGTACACTTCCTCGAATTAACATGTTTATTGCATATTAGACTGAAAGGCAGACATATTTTAACCACACTTCTTTCTGTGGAAAATCATATATCTGCAGGGACTGCAGGTAGTCTGTGAAACAGCTCAGCCAGATGCCATGCCTCCAAGGCCTGCTTTTTCAGGCTGTCACCATGGAAACTCAATTGAAGGAAGCGTGTCATCTCAAGCATCTCAGGAGAAAGCACCCTCATATCCTAGGTACCAGTTCATTTATTACAAGGCAGATGGTCTTCAGCAATCTCTCTCTCATATACACACACAGAGAGAGAGAGAGTTGATGGGATAGTTCATATAATTCAGAAGAGCCTTCTTCTCTAAATATGAAAAGGGAGACATTTCTGTTTTGTCCATTTGAAATACATTCTTTGGAATATATTGGGAATATGAAGTGTGTGCTGTCCTATAGATTAAAATAATTGCTTGTTAAATGTTCACTATCAGTCTCACTGAGATTCTTCAGAACTTCATTTGTCATGCAGAATAGAAAAGGAAATGGGAAAAATCAGGGCTGAACTAAGGCATTTTGCTGCCTGAGGTAAATACAAAATGCCCCCCCAAAACATTTCATGTATAGAATCTAGATGGACTGGCAGGTGTATCATAGTATCCTCTATTGCAAGGTTTTGAATTTCTAGGTGCACAGCAGGGATTCACAGAACAGAATAGATTCAATTTCCCCCGGATTGATCCACCCCTCATCTTATTAACTGGCACTGATAGTTTCAATAACTCATTCTGAGATATAAGTGGGAGAAAGATTAAAGTGTTTCATTTACTTAGAGGATCCAACAGCAAGCTAAAAACATAACTACTTTGAACAACAGGCTTCAACAGACTAACTGACTCAAAAGGCTCAAGAGAGGGGTGAAAGTCCTGGGCAGAGAAATAGGGCTCTCTTTGAATGCAGAGACAGTGAAGGGACGACAGGTTACTGCTGGATAAATTGGCAGTTACCTCAACCCAGAAAGGCCCCCTCCAGCCACATCTACTGGAGCATGCCAGGTTGCAAGAACTCCACCATTCTCCACCATACCTGATGGCAGTAGACTAGTTTACTGGAAAAGTGTAAAAAGACTGTGAAAAAAGTCTTTAAAACGTGTAAAAACAGTAAAAAAAAAAGACTATGTGGCTTGTATTGCTTTGTTGTCCAAGAGGGATTCAAGACAAACAGCTGGGGATCTGCTATTTCTGACCCCAGCTGCTGGTTACTTACATTTTATTTTATTTTATTTTTTACTGAAGGGCCATCTATGGGAAGGACCATTTCCATTTGAAAATGGTGCCCTGTGTATGCACAGGATTGGTGTCAGAACAGTTTTCCTTTCATCCCTCAACACTGCTATAGTGTCTTAGCACCCTCCCATCCAATTGTTCTATTATATTATGTACAAGCATCCACTAAGGAGCAATCGTTCTTTGCCAGTTTTAGTTTTGCACCCAGATTGCGGCCCATTTTTTCCTTGTGACATGTTGGAGCACGCTGTCCTTTCAGCTGAGGCTGTTTGTGTGTTCTGCCAGCCCCCCTTGCTAGCAGAGACAGTGTTCCTTGTTAACAACTCCATGGGCTCCATATCAGGCTGTGATCACATTGGCAATAAGAACCGCATTTAAGCATCATTTAAATTGATTTAGATTTTGTCAGTCACACAACACAAGGGTGAAATCCGTTTGTATGGGCTGCAAAGCAAGTTTTGTCCAACTGGCCAGCAGGGGCTTTTTAAAAGACCACACTTCTAAAACTGATTCAATTCAATGTGGTTTGGTGGATATCAGCGCTGCTGTTGTATGTGGATTTTGGGTGGCAGGGATGCCCAAATATTCCTTTTAAATATTTTTAAAATCCTTTCTCAAAATGTTTATCACTGCATCACTTAATCGATATGGTTGGCATTACAAACACCTATCCCATTCTCCCCATTCGGCCAATGAAGCCTCCCCCCAATTCTCTTTTTTTTTGCCAGGGTCACCTCCTAGTATTTCCTGTGTGGTTTCTAGTGACTATTATGACACCAGGTAACACCTCCTAGACACTCAATTTATCGGTGTATCATTTACTCTTTTTTGGGGGGAAGGATCAAAACCTTTAAGAGCAACACGCTCCTAACCCAGAAGGGAAATGAGTCAGTTTCAGCAGTGTAAATGCCCAAACAAGTTTAAATAACCAGAAATAAATTGATTTCTATTCAGTGCATGGGAACATGGCCATTGGTTCAAACACCAAGAAAAACAGAGATCATCGCCTGGCAGATATGCTTAGATTGTATTCCTGCATTGAGCAGGGGGTTGGACTTGATGGCCTTTGTAGGCCCCTTCCAACTTCGCTTTTCTATGATTCTATGACCATGTGACTTGAGCCTGATTTTTAAAAAGTCTGAACAGAAATTGATTCAAATGTCCCATGCAGCCACAGACTCGCCTTCTTGACTCACATCAGTTTTTAGTAGAGTTACAGCAGCAGTTCCCTTTGCCTTGACTCCATAGGGTCAAATTACAGTCTCTAAACGACTAATGCTATATTAGAATTGATTTAATGAAGCTGGCCACAAGCCAAATAATTAGAAAAAGAGCTAATCAGAGTGAAATAAATACACCCTTGAAGAAGGCTGAAACTCATAGGATCTTTTATACTAGAATAAAGAGCATTATATTTTCTACATCTTGGGAGTGCAATTTCCCCCTTTTTTGACATAACATCTAAACTACTGACCCCAGACAGTAGAATGTTGGATTAAAAAGGGACATTATGCCACCGAACCTGTCCAATGAGCAGCAGGACTTGACCATTACAGCAGTGCTGTGAGGCAAAGCCATAAACAAATATGTATCCTCTACCCTTCTGCTATGGTGCATGGTAGTAGGCAGCAGAAATGCAGAATCTCTTTGCCTCAGCAGGTGTGTGCAGAAAAGAAAAGCATATATACACTCACAGTTTAAAAACAAATACAAAATGGTCTTTCCTGCTGAACAACAGCAATTGACTTTCCCCTTTCCCTAGTTATTTTGCCTGCAAGTGAAAAATGCCCAAAGGAGGAAGGAGCTGGTCTTTAGATGGCAAAAATAAGGCAATCAGTGTCTGAAACAGAGATGGGCGGTCGCTATGGCAATGAAGCTGCAGGCAGGTTCTCTAGCCTGCTTCATTAATTTCTCCTCATTTGCTGAACTCATTGATCATTCCAAACTCAACTGGAATGGGGGTGGGGGTGGGGTAGAATGTTGTTGCCTAGCAACAGGCAGAGAAGAAATAAGTGTTATTTGTTCTAGTTACCAAACCAAACTCAGTGGAATTATTTTGTCCTTGAAGAGAACAGTCAACTCAATGGCTATATCCTGAATCCCTTTCTCTTTGAGAAGTGTAGGAACGGATTGGGTCAACACGGGGACAACACTGAAATTTAGCAGACCTATACAAATTTTTTAAACAAAGGAAGTTTGAGTGACAAAACTCAGGTTATCTTTCTGATAGATATCTCCAAGTGATCGTTTTTTTGGTATTCTGTTTCTCCCTGATAGTTTCGCACAGTTCTAAATCCAAAAAAGGGGTAATCAGAGTTGATTGCTACAGTTTGGTTCTCATGAATAAAGCAATAAAAGCCTGACAATGCAGTGTTTTCTATATATGGTGGAGATTTTAGAAAAACCAATTCCAAATCATCAGCCCCGAAAGAAAAGGAGTCCAGGAAATGGTGGGCAGCTTTAAAACAGAGGAAAGAACACTCATGCTTCAGGTCTTCCAATACCATTAATTCGTTATTTTTTTTCTTAACATCCCCCCTTAATTTTGCTTTATTGACATCAATTTTCAAAGCAATATACAAAATCATGAAACAAAAGATCATTTTAACAAATACCAACAAGATTAAAACATCAACTAAAAATATACTAGGAGGTCAGAGGATTAAACATTGGAGACAGAATTAAACAAATGAAAAAAGCAGACACACTAAATGTCTTTGGTAGGATAACAGAAGAACAACATGGAGGGTATGTGACAGTCCTTGGCCAACAGAAGCTATAGCTCCTCCTGCTATGGTGCATGTAGCCCTAGAGGATGAATCTTATCAGGGACTTTAGCTGCTGTGTCACCTGACTCAGCCTGATGCTAGAAAAGATTCTGTATCTTGAGAGAGTAGTCACATTGTGGGTAATCAAATCAATGAATGTCCTCTTCTGTGGGCTCTGGAGGCTTGTAATACAAGGCAGAAGTGTCTGATGGAGTCAGACTCAGACAAATAAAGTCCAATTAAGGTAGGTAAAGTCAACATATGTCTGCAAACTCAAATCAAATAGGCAAGATTTGGTCAAGATAGGCAGAGTGAGGTTATCGTAGACAAGGTTGATTTAAGTAGGTTAGGTCCAGTATTTGGTCAAGATAGGCAGAGTGAGGTTATTGTAGACAAGGTTGATTTAAGCAGGTTAGGTCCAGTTTGTTGTTGTTAAGTGCTGTTAAGTCACTTCTGGCTTTTTTTGCCCCTATGAATTAATGACCTTCAAAAGATTCTGTCATTAATAGCCCTTCTCAAGTCTTGCCAACAAAAGACCATGGTTTTCTTTACTGAGTCAATCTATCTCAACTTCATTCTTCTTTTCCTATGACCTTCAGATTTCCCTAACATTATTGTCTTTTCCAGTGAGTCTTGATGTGTCCAATGTACAATGGTCTCAATGTAGTAGTTTTAGCTTTTAGTGAGAGTTAGGTCCAGGCATATTACGTAAATTCATGTCACGTAAGACAATGTAAAGGCAGAATCTGTCTTAAATAATGGACAAATGAAAACAGGAGTTTGGATCTCAGCAAGTGAGCCCTGCTGACTGACATTCTCTCCTGCTAAGACAACTGCTGGAGGATATTGCTTCTGCAGTGAGCTAAAGTCTTCTGTAGCCTGGGCAGAACCTGTTGTGTGGTTGGGATTTGACCTCCACCTCCAGAGGAGTTCACTAAGCTGTTAAAGGTCTCTCATCTGATCTGGACATCTAAGGCTTATCCAGTACCAAGAATATGAGTTTTTCTGGCTTGGCAGCAGTAAAAGTGAAGAGGGTGTAGGTCAAATATGAGCCAGCGAGGCAGTATAGCAGCTAAAGAAGCTAATATAATCTTAGGCCGCACTAACTATGATTCCAAATCCAGATCATGGGACCTGATATTGGACATTGGTCAGGGCATTGATCATGGCAAGTAGTCAATTGATCATGGGACCTGATATTGGACATTGGTCGGGGCATTGATCATGGCAGAGTAGTCAATTTGACTAGATGGGCGGGGTATAAATTCAATAAATAAATAAACATAAAATAAAATGTATTGTGCCTTTCTAAAAAGGACATTGAAAAATGGGAGCACCTCCAGAGGATGGTGGCTGGTCCAGAAACAGAATCCTATGAGGAACCTTTGAAAGAGCGGGATATTTTTAGCACAAAAAAGAGAAGATTAAGAGGCGCTATGGTACAAGTTTCCAAGCAGCCAGAAGGTTATCATACAGAAGACAAATTATTCTCTATTGCTCTAGAAGGCAGATTTGAAAAGAATCTACACAAATTCAGGAAGCAGCTTAGGAAACAATGGGAGATGCTTACTAATGGCACATGGTAAACAGTGGAAGGAATGTCATGATGATAATTGCGGATCAACAAAGAAATAGACCCCACTGGAGATTATAGGTTCTCCTTTCCTGGACAGATGTAAGTAGAAGGTGCATAGCCTTTTCTCAGGAATGATGCCGCTGCTTCCTGCATGGCAGCTCCTGTACTGGATGGGGAACTCGAAAAGATGACCTTCGGGGTTATTTTGCAGCTCTGTGTTTCCCATTGGCACTGTTCAACCCAGGCTTGGCACAAAACACAAACATCTGGATACCGCCTAATCTATCCAAAATAGCGCCTAAGGCAGTGTGAGGGGGCCAGTGCAAGTTGTCTGGTGGTCTTAGCACTGTCCATCAAAAAAAAAAAAAAAAAAAGAGGGAACAATTAGGGAATCTTGGAAGAACAGTGTGCAGTTTGTGGCCTGCTGCTCTCTCCTGCCCCTCAGCATCTGCTACCTTAAGTGACTGCCTCTCTTTTCTTAATGAGCAGACCAGTTTTGGTTCAGGCTCAACTGAATTGACAGAGAAGACCAAACTGTGGCAGCAATCTGAGGACCTGCAACAGAAAGTGTGTGCATATGCTTAGCAAGAATCCTGTAGAAAATACATTGGGTGTGCCACATCTGGGTTTCTCATAAACAGAACTGAAAGCATTAGTCAATTAACTGGGGTGGCTCATTAATTAATAAACGACATGGTAAAGATGTAGATGATTAGTCAGATTTCAAATAGATTATCCCTGAGAGAGGAAACTGTTTGATGGCAGTGAAGCAGAGGCAAATCTCTTGCTTCAGGCAAGAAAATATTTTTCCGAGGTCCTGCCAAGATATTTCTGTATGGTATATCTTTCAGTTATCACCTAAATAACAAAATGATTGCTACTTTAATTATATAAGCAACAATTATTAGGAGTAAAAACAATCTAGTTAATAACAGACAAATAGACAAAATATTTTTATTCCGCCTTTCCCCTTTAAAGGAATCCTGTACTAATCAATACAGCTGATACTACCTAAACATACGTAGGCTACAGCGTGATTTTCCTTCCAAGGAAGTGTCTGTAAGATGTTAGTCCAAAACAGGTTCCAGTCAGATGTAAGTGGAATGGACTCACGAGATATTCATAGAAGATTGAAAAGTCCTATTTAATCAGTGATATTTCAAGTGTTTTATTCATGAGACTGTTGGGCCCAGTATGAACTAGCACTTCCATAGACTGCTGGACATCTTCGCTTTCAGAAGAATATTTTTAAGGGTAACAGATATTAAATGAAGTCAGAAACATGATATAACAGAAACCATAGAGGAAGACTGGATGGGACTTCAAGTTGCTTCTCAGTAGTATCTGGCTACTCATTCCAGTTCCCAACCCATAAATCATAAGCCCCTCCTCGTTCTCCTTCTCTGTTATATCTTTCATCCTTATTTTTATATAGGCACATGTTTTTAGGAGTGCTGTCTTTCTAATGTGCCTTTCTTTGTCAATTGTGACAGAGTATCTTTGGTTATCCCACCATGCCAAAAGTCCCGTTATGCTACCTATTTTGATGTGGCGGTACTACGATGCCTGCTTCAGCCACATTGGTCGGAGGAAGGCACTCAGTGGTCCCTGATGTATTACCTCCAGAGATTGCGCCATATGTTGGAGGAAAAACCCGAGAAACCACCTGAGCCAGACGTCCCACAGTTGCCAAGACCACGCAGCAGTTCCATGGTGGCTGCTGCTCCTTCACTGGTGAACACTCACAAGACTCAGGTGAGGATAATGTCTGGTCCTCCGAAGGTTTGGGGCCAATAGGTCCTTAGCCTTAGGTCTTAGGGTCTTGTTAAAAGCCCAACGGCAACCAACATTTCTAAATTTACAGTGAAGATAATCAGCTTGAATTTTGGCAGGAGGCAGCAAGGGGGCTGGAAACTATAAATGGAAGAATAATCACACATAACACCTTGTTGTCTTCCTGGTTGTTCTTCCACGAACAAAATATTTGCGCAGGATTTTAAAGGGTATTTGGAATTATAAGAAGAATCCTTATGGCCTGGCTTACTCTACAATAGACATCAGTGACATGGGGAGGCTGGATAGACAAAAATGCTTTGATTCCAGAAATGTTTATTTTGTGGAAGGAAGTGGACTAAATTTCCCCTCACACATTAGAAGGTTAGTTAGCACCTATGTGCTACCATCTGCTGCCAAGCACATTTCTGGGAAACATGAAGGAAATACACAGGCCCAGTTATCACCAACAATGGATCTGGGACACAGGCAGAAGATTCATTCTCTCTGCTGCTTTCTTCAGCAGCATTTGTGTACCCTCTAGCTCTTGCTCTTTCCTTCTCTCTCCCCTATTTTGCAGTCCCCACTGTGGCTCTCCCTCACTAAACAATGGGAAGCTGGCAGTTTGGCTGATACCGAGGGCAGCCCCAAATTTACCTACTCATTGTATTTGAGAAAGTGAATAGTAATACTGTAATTGTACATAATAAACCAACTGATACTGATAACCTTTAAAATATCTATACCCTGTAGCTTTTGGAGCTAACAGAAGTTTTATTTCCAAAACCGTGAAGGCTAAAGCTCAATGGATGTTCTATTTAAAACCACAATATTTATTTCACAACGGGTACAAAGATTCAGTGCATTCTGTGGCTCAGGCTCCAGTGATGCTATCACTTTCAACCACTGAACCTCTCATTGAAAGTCAGCTTAGAATGATTATCTACTTTCAGAACTGTAACAATATAATAGTAGATCTTGAAACTGCTTTTTGAGCCACATCACACATAATTATATGTTTGTTTTCTTTCGGGGGGGATGTAGGATCTCACAATGAAGTGCAATGAGGAGGAAAAATCTTTAAGCACTGAAGCTTTTGCCAAAGTGTCACTAACCAACTTGCGCAGACCTGCAGTTCCAGACCTCTCCTCCGATTTGGGAATGAATATTTTTAAGAAGGCAAGTAAAGCTAGGATGCTGTACATTACACTTGTTGTGAACTTTTACTTTAATGCACTTAATATGTTTAATCCCAATGTTATAGACTTCATAGATTCAGTAAAGAAGTCCAGTAGTCAGCGGGTGAATGCAGCCTGGGGATAACCCTGTCCTGAATTCCACGGGTGCAGAAGGTCACCTATGCTGGATCAGATTGGGGTCAAATTAGAGTTTACATAGCAACCATGTCTCCCAGTTTTATTAAACTTTTTAGTAAAAAGCTAAAGGAGACTGTGAGTTGACTGAAGGAGCAGTAGAAGAGCATTATCTCTTTCCCCACGGGCCTTTTTTTTCCCAGTACAAAATCACTGTTCTCACACTTTATCCACAGAAGCTGTCCAGGAAAAAAGCATCTCAGAGGAGGTAATTTCTATCAGGGGGAAAAAAATGGCCTGCACCAAAAAAAAAAAAAAAAAAAAAAAGAGAGAGAGAGAGAGAGAGAGAGAGAGAGAAAACAGCAACCATTCTTCAGATGGTTTTCATTAGACACATCAAAAAGCAAAGCAAAGCAACTATAGTATTAGGAAATTGTATGTCTGCCATATAATTTTGACCTATACTTATTTGATTCATTTACAAATAATAGTCTTACAGCATTTATGTGATTGAACACTTAGTTGCACATTTACACAGGGTGTTTATGAGACAGGATTCCACAATAACAACAGCGTAACAGATTTCCATTCCTTACCAACTTGTAGGCCAAAGCCTCTGGGAGATCCAAGGTTCCCACCTCTTGTTTAGGGGAATCTTCTTTAGAGATTCATCTCTCCCCTCTTTCCAGTCCCAGTTGTAGCACCAAGTGTCAGCTACATACACAGACTTAGCTTGCTTCGGACTCAGTTAGCAGATTACTGGGAAAGAGAGGTGAGATGAAAGGCAAAACCCTTTCCAGAAGGGGAGATGAACTGTGGCTTCTTCGTTCATCCTAGCTCCCACTGAAATGTTTTAACAGAGTGTCACCCACCATCATCTTTCTTCTGTCAGGCCTCAGAGGGAATCACCTCCAGGTATGTACACTGATAGATCTACTTAATGAGAGCCTGGAATTATCCTGGATCTCTTTGCAATCAGAAGCATTGGGCTGTAAGGATGCTCGAAAACCTGTAAGACCAGAACAATTCCCACCACAAATCTGGCACACTGGAGGTTCCCTTCCTTGCATTTTCTGTGTAACACATCTATTTATACTGAATAGGAGAACCAAAGAAAGCCATTTTAGTGGCGCATGCAAATAAGATATGAAATAGGTTGTGACTCCTACAGAAATGTCAAATGCACTAGGACCTCCAGCTTTAAAGGATCGAAAATGACAAATATTCAAAACACCTTCAACTAAAGGTGGAGATTTTGAAAACCAGACAGTGAAATGGCTCTGAAGCTTTCTTTTACATCATGTGAATAAATGTAATGCTGTAAGTATGACTAAGTTCTTATAGAAATGGGAGTGCCTGACCACCTTATCCATCTCCTGAGAAATCTGTATGTGGAACAAGAAGCAACAGAACAGGATATGGAACAACTGATTGGTTCAAAATTGGGAAAGGAGTACGACAAGGCTGTATATTGTCTCCCTGCTTATTTAACTTATATGCAGAATACATCATTCGGAAGGCTGGACTGGAGGAATCCCAAACCGGAATTAAGATTGCCAGAAGAAATATCAACAACCTCAGATATGCAGATGATACCACTCCGATGGCAGAAAGTGAGGATGAATTAAAGAATCCTGTAATGAGGGTGAAAGAGGAGAGCACAAAAATGGTCTGAAGCTCAACATCAAAACAACTAAGATCATGGCCACTGGTCTCATCACCTCCTGGCAAATAGAAGGGGAAGATATGGAAGCAGTGACAGACTTTACTTTCTTGGGCATCATGATCACTGCGTTTGGTGACATCATCCATGAAATTGAAAGACACCTGCTTCTTGGGAGGAAAGCGATGACAAACCTTGATAGCATCTTAAAAAGCAGAGACATCACCTTGCTGACAAAGGTCCGCATAGTCAAAGCTATGGTTTATCTAGTAGCGATGTATGGAAGTGAGAGCTGGACCATAAAGAAGGCTGACTGCCAAAGAATTGATGCTTTTGAATTGTGGTGCTGGAGGAGACTCTTGAGAGTCCCCTGGACTGCAAGGAGAACAAACCTATCCATTCTGAAGGAAATCAACCCTGAGTGCTCACTAGAAGGACAGATCCTGAAGCTGAGGCTCCAATACTTTGGCCATCTCATGAGAAGTGAAGACTCCCTGGAAAAGACCCTGATGTTGAAAAAGTGTGAGGGCAAGAGCAGAAGGAGACGACAGAGGATGAGATTGTTGGAAAATGTCATTGAAGCGACCAACATGAATTTGACCCAACTCCGGGAGGCAGTGGAAGACAGGAGGGCCTGGCGTCCTCTGGTCCATGGGGTCACGAAGAGTCAGTCACAACTAAATGACTAAACAACAACAAAATATGACTAAACAAATATTACAATTTCAAAGCGATGGCATTGCTGTGCATTCTAAATCATGCCTATAGTTATCCTGAATGAAAAGGTTTCAAGCAGAAGTCTTTCTTAGCTATACTAGGTTTATTTTGACTGGTGCTGCTCAAAACTGAACCTGGAACCTTACATGTAAAATGCAGAAATCCTATTACCTAGCTAAGGGCACCATGTTTATGTTACAACACCACAGAAGCCCCCAAATACTAGCTGTTTCTAGAAAATTCAGTCTTTGTCAACTCATCCAGCTAGGAAGTTGCCATTTCCAATAACCAACCAAAGTGCAGTTATGCTGGCAATGCTGGTGGGCACCCAACTGGATTTCACACATGAAGCAGAATGCCCTAGGCAGAAGATACCATTTAGGCTCTTTAGATGGCTGAACCTGTTCTTGTCAAAGTATCTGTACAGAAAAGAGAATGTGATAAAATAACTCGTTTCTTCTCTTGCTTCATGCTAGAAGTCATTTTTGAAGACTGGTGGCTGTTTTTCTTCATGGTACACTTGGCAGGCCATCCTAAGTCAAAGCCAAAGCAGTGGTTAGAAAAAAAGGAAGGGGAGGATATGCCCTCCTGTGCCATCTATGCTATAAGGGTACCACCTGTCTCCTAAAAATGCAAAATGCTTGCTCAGCCATCATCTGTCCAGTCTTTCACTCAAGGATTAGACCATGTTCTGTGGCTTCCATCAGGATATGAAGCATAGAAACATCTTTTTATCGGACACACCGTGTTTCCCCAAAAATAAGACAGGGTCTTATACTAATTTTTGCTCCAAAAATGCAATAGGGCTTATTTTCAGAGGGTGTTTTATTTTACAGTCATATAATCTTTTTTTTCTGGTTGCTGCACAATAGTGGAGGGTGGGGTTTCACTTAACTGGGGTTTATTTTGGGGATAGGACTGATATTACCAGCATCCTGAAAAATCATACTAGGGCTTATTTTCAGGTTAGGTTTTATTTTCGGGAAAACAGGGTAGTTTCAGAGTCAGGGATTTCCTAGTGAGGTCTGTATATAATTAAATGGTACACAGGGATGCTATGTAGGAAACCGCCACTTTCTAGACCCTTCTCGAAGTCCCAGTCTCATTTGCTCTGCAAAATGAATGAGGTGGCCATAAAGTTTCCCTCTCACTTTTGGCTGAAAATACATCATTTGTTGGAGGTGTGTGGATATGCAAATTAAGCAGGCTTGTACAGCTGTGCGTTATATCAAGCATTGATTTTCTGTACCAAGATACATAAAATATTGAGATTTTTCCTACCACGGCTAGTGAACTGATCAGTGTGACTGCAAGATATAGTTGTTGGTAACAAATGGATTTTGAGCCTAGTTTCCAACATCAAA